CTTCCATAGCTCAATTGGTAGAACGGAGGACTGCTGCTGTTCTACTAAGAATTGCCCAGGGTTAAGTTAGTTGTTAGTGGCATACAATTTCCCTCTTTGTTGGCTCTCACATAACAGCACTCCCAATCCCTTAGGAAAATTTTAAGATCTATGAATTGGCCAATTTTCTCAGAGAGAACATTTTCACTTTTTTTTTTTTCGAAACAGGATTCTTGCTCTGTCACCCAGGCTGGAGTGCAGTTGGCAAGATTCATGGCTCAGTGCAGCCTTAACTCCTGGGCTCAATCCTTCTGCCTCAGCCTCCCAAGTAGTTAGGACTACAGGTGTGAACCACCATGCTGAGCCCATTTTCACATATTTTAAAAGAGAATTTAGGGACTGTATTTTCAAGGCCAATACCTACTTTGAATATTGACTATCACTTCCTTCATTTTCTAATTTCTTACCTGTTAGACTCACAGACAATCATTGGTGATAGAAGCTGATGATTTCCACACATGAAGTAATATCTGCAATCTTCCCTGAAGATCTATGTTGTTTGGCTATTCTTACAGAAGAAAAAAGTAATACTCTCTCCCCTACTGGAAGACCACAATTCTATTGCTTGATGTCAATTACTGAATATAGGCACTCAGCAGTACACTTGCTTCAGCATAATTCCTTGAAGATAGGGTCTTGGCTGTTATAAAAGCCAGAAGACCAAATGGACTAAAGGGTCCAGGAAAGGAACGGATTCAGTTCAGAAGCAATAGAATAATCAATGACTTGGAGATTTCAGACAAATCAGATTTTCTATAGACACAGGGATATAAATAGCACAAATACAACACAGACACTTAGAAACAAAAGCCACCAAGTAAACTTTTTGTTTGAAAACTTGTTAGGTCTAGAGCGGCAGTCCCCAGCCTTTTTGGCAACAGGCACCGGTTTCATGGAAGATGATTTTTCCATGGGGGGAGGATGGGGGGTGAAGTTTAGGTGTGATGTGCAGCCCGGTTCCTAATAGGCCACCGTCCAGGATGGGGCTGCGGCCCAGGGGTTGGGGACCGCAGGTCTAGTGAACTGTTCACAACCACAGCTGCTAATGGTTATGGATTTGGCAATCAAAATGTCTTTGTTAAAAAAAAAAAAAGTTTTAACTGCCTTACTATTGAGGTTACAAACCACAGCCTTGATGCATTGTTGCAGTCAACATCCTCCCTGCTGTTTTTGAGAGCTTACATCTGCTGCTGGCAGATAAAATGCTGCCAAACGGCATGGGCTCCTTCCAGGGGAATAACAAGAGAAGCTTTAATGAGATGGCTCTGGTCTACCTTTCTCTCCTGAGTTGAACCCACAGCCTTTTCTGTGTCACTCCTACCCTGTCTAGCTTCATCCCCTGCCATTACTAAGAAGGGCTGAGGGTCTAGTGGGATTTTTTTTTCTGGCACAAATTAACCATGGCTGTACTAGTCTTACAAGATAAAAGGAAGACAGGTTCGTACCTCAGGGGAAAGCATTTTAAGCACATATCTTCAAAAGCCACTTACAGTGTAGTGCACTTGGTTTTAAACAACCATTAACATAACCTTTTCTGTTATTATTATTTTTTTAGAAAACTAAATGATCACGCTATGGCAAAATAATGAGGGCTTAGTGTACTTTTTAACTTATCAAAGAAAGGCCAAGTATGTGAGGTCAGGCTGAGCACAGTGGCTCACACCTGAAATCCTAGCACTTTGGGAGGCTGAGGCAGGAGGATCACTTGAGGCCATGAGTTCAAGACCAGCCTGAGAAAGAGCGACACCCTGTCTCTACAAAAAATAGAAAAATCAGCCAGGTGTGGTGGCATGCGCCTGTAGTCCCAGCTGCTTGGGAAGCTGAGGCAGGAGGATTGCTTGAGCCCAGGAGTTTGAGGTTGCAATGAGCTATGAGGACACCACTGCACTCCAGCCCAGGCGACAGAGTGAGACCATGTCTCCAATTAAAAAAAGAAAGAAAAAAAAGAAAAAAGAATATGAGGTCAAAAGTAAATTACCAAGTTTCCTTAGGGAATGAAAAAGCCAGGAACAGAATGAAGAAGTAAAATGTGGTCCAAGTCACTTGGAAAGTTAGTTTCGGTTGAAATAAAAATTACTAGATCCATACCAGTTTTCAAAGAAAATGCAGTTCAGCTGGGTGGAAAGAACTATGGCGACGGTGAAGGAAGACACAGGTTAGGAAACTATTTCCTAGATGGTTCTCTCTCCGTGAGCTGACCTATGAGGATAAAAGAGAACCAAACATACCTAGGCTAACGCTTTCTAAACTGTATGTACCATGATACCAGCTCTGCAGTATGTAAATAGGTAGTGGGGGCGATTCATGATCACAAAGTTTTGGGAACACTGCACATTATATCTATCACTTAGACAGCCATAATCCACACTGGCATATTAAGGGCTCTGAGAAGTTCTGCAGTAAACAACTGAATCTGTTTAATCCAAAGACATTTCACAAATGTATGTTTCAAAGAACACTTATGCCATGGAATAGTCTGGGAAATGCTAGTCTAGGGCTGTTGTTCCTACACTGTCAACTCATTCCTTCAGAAACAAGAATGAGGCTGGTATAACAGACTAGGCAACTTCATTTCTTACATTACAGAATTCTAGCTCACAGACAGGTGAATTACCAAGGGTGGTCTAGACGTTTTCCAAGAGGCAGCCAAACAGCAAAGCTACAACATTTAGAAGTGATAAGCTCCTTACCAAATAAATAATACCAAAACAGGACTAGTACCAATTCTGAACATATTCATATGTTACCCTCAAACATAGAAAAGAAACAGTGGAAAAAAGCCACAGAAAAGCTGACCATAGGGAAAACAGGTATGGGATTCCCATGTTTGATGAAGCCTACTGGCTTCTGGCATTTTGGAATATTTTAATGTCATATATCAGGGACATTCATGAGGAGAGTTGCTGGGACCTCCTGCTGGGAACATACAAGAGGATTCCTGCACTTCTACATGATGTCCTCAACAACTTCAGGACATAGTACAGAATATAAGCTCAAGGAAAAGTATCGTGCTGATCTGAAAAAGAGGTATCCTTGAGAAACCCAAAAGATTTGTTTTGTTAGATTTCTAATTCCTATAACCCTCACAGAACTCCATATTTTAGGATTATAATTTCCTACCCTTCCCTACACATATCTGTGGTGGAAAGACAACTAGCCATCCAAAGATTGAAATCATTTGACCCTGTATCAGGTGGTGGTTTGCTTGATTGATATAAGAGAAAATAAGGCAAGGCTCCCTTCCAAAAACCATCATCCACGCTGCCAGATACTCCTGGGTTGTCTTTTAGAAAGCAAATACATATCGCAGGAAGAAAACATAATGTATTACATTAGTTATACTAAACTTTAATAATGACTGTGAGTCTCTAAAATTGTAAAGCCTACACTAATGTAAGACATTTTAATAATCATTACTTCTAGACTGGGGAGGAAAATGGGAGAAGGGGGGAGGAAAGAAGACATTGAAAAAAACTGGGCAGAGAGGAACACTACAGGCACAAGGATGTAGGGAATGAAGGGCCTCCACATGTCTACGGTTTTGACTAGGTCTGACTCAAATACTAAGGGCAGAACAAAAGGCTAGGAGTCAAAATTCACACCAAAATGCACGCATTGTATTCATACACATAAAGTAATCAGAGAAGGCAACCCACAAGAAAATGAAAGACAGAAATCTAGAGGGATAACAACTGTTGGGTAAAATCCGTGAGGAAAGGATAGAGAAGGTGAGATGGGGAGGAATAGTAAAGAAAAAAAGTAGGCCAGGCGCGGTGGCTCACACCTGTAATCCTAGCACTCTGGGAGGTCAAGGTGGGAGAATCGTTTGAGCTCAGGAGTTCGAGACCAGCCTGAGCAAGAGCGAGACCCCGTCTCTACTAAAAATAGAAGGAAATTAACTGGGCAACTAAAAATATACAGAAAAAATTAGCCGGGCATGGTGGTGCATGACTCTAGTCCCAGTTACTCGGGAGGCTGAGGCAGGAGGATCGCTTGAGCCCAGGAGTTTGAGGTTGCTGTGAGCTAGGCTGATGCCATGGCACTCTAGCCCGGGCAACAGAGTGAGACTCTGTCTCAAAAAAAAAAAAAAAGAAAAAAAGTAGACAACAATAATAGTAATGAAAGGGAAATAAGTCTTAAAAACAAAGAATTTACTGAAAAAAATTAAGCTAAAGCACATTTTCTTAAGTGCAGTGATGGAGGCCCTATTATTACCTAAAGTAACTGTTCAAAGAAGAGGAAAACCACACTGTTAGGTAACGTTCTTCATGCTTCAAGGATGGACTTTCCAAATCTGGATTTCTGCCAGTCTGAGCCTAAACATAAAGGCTCTATATTTCAGGAGTTTTCTAATTAAGCTAAAGTTCTTCAGCTCCCTCTACTGTTTAAAAGTGTACTTTAGTCAGCTCAGTTCACTCTTTAGTTACCAAAATAAATTTAAAAATATACATACATATGTATATTCATACATACATACATACACACATCCCACCGCCACCCCAAATCTGGCACAGTCCAGGCAATCAGAGTTCGAAGACACTTGCCTATCATGAGTTCAATGACCTGGACCAAAAACTCCAGAATCATCAATAACAGATTCTGTCATCCCCACCACCCAATCAAAATGATTCAAGGTAAAATGGAGGGTTTCTTTGCCAAAGGTTTTAGTAAGGGACAAAGACCTGTACTTGTTAGCTGGATTGTGACAACAGCTGTTTATGCAGAAATATGTATGTACCAGTTTCCTATATATCAGAAACCAAAACATCACTAAGTTTTTTCTGTTTCTGCCCTGGTCTTTTCTCCTCCAATAGTTCCTTATTAAAAGATTCTCCACTCCTCACATGTCTAAATTCAGTTGCTGTATCTTACTATCTTCAGGATATTATATATTGAAAGATCTAAGAGTCAGTTATGGTAGCAAACCAAGCATCTGTCCAAGAGAAGTATTCTATACTCACCTGCTCCTTAAATTGCTTCTGAGACAAGCAGTCAGTTAGGTCCACACAGCCCAGAAGACAACCTGATGGATAGTCATTGGGAAATTCCACATCTGAATCAAGAACAACAAAAGGATTGAATAAATTTCTTTGTGACCCTGGAACTCAGGAATCTGTTTTCAATTCTGAATAAATAACTTTTTACATTATCTTTTTGTAGACATAAGGAAAACAATGAGCTCTTTATTTGACACAACGGTTTATATTTTAGCAAAAAATCTAGTGAGTGGATACCTTAGTCCATTATCCAGATGCTAAGCTAGAAAATTTTTCCTTTAGAAAACAATTGCCCTCATGCCATCAAAGCTCAAGGAACTCCAAGTTCATTCTGAACAAAATGATAACTATACTCAGTTGGATCAGATTGGAATTTGGTAGGGACTGGTTTTAGAAAAAAAGAAACGTAGCTACAGATGACAAGAGAGAAAACCACAAAAATGTGGCAAAAACTCTAAGAATGAATGGCGGAACACAAATTTAAAACAAGCCATTCATATCTGTCAAAATAGAAATGTTTTTTAAGGAAGCATGCACTTTTGATTCCTAGTGCTTCCTTAAGTTTGCTTTCTTAAAAACTTTTAAAGGTGGTTCTGTAGTTATCCCTTCATTCTACCTTCAAAACAACCATATGAACCAGAGACGAGGAAGGAAAACTGGATGACTAAAGGTCAGAAGTCCTTTTCAGGATCCAAAGTTGGGGTACTTGGGGTGATCCCCCAAATACATTCCTTAAGTCAATCAACTTAGATCTGTCTAAATCCAATAACAGGTATCTATTTGGGTCACTCCCAATAAAAATTCTTATTTATAGTTGTTCTTCCCAATTTAAAGATCCCAGGATTTATAGTAGTCATTTTACCTGCATAGTAAAAAAGATAGAGAGGGGAGTGGTGTTGGGAAAGTGGGGGGGGCAAAAAAAGAGAAGATTTTCCAGTAAAAAATTAAGATAAATTAAGATAAAATTAAGACAAGTTGTTTGATATCCGGTGTTGGAAACTGATATTTGCACTGTTTGAAAAATTAAAGCTTTGAACAGCTGTCTATGATTTGTCACTAAACAAACACACACACACATACACAAACATTAAAAGTCCCTTTTAGCCAAGAAAAAGCCACAGGAAGAAGTAAGTGAAAGAAGATGAATGTCAATGACTTCTCTCCACAAAGTAAGACTAAAAGGAGAACATACAGCTGTACCTTTCCCACGAAGAAGACGATATGTAGCCTGGAGTTCTGAGACTTCTTGAGGGGAGGGTTTTTTGGCTGTGGCTGCTATCCAAAGTCGTCCTCTGTGGGGGGTATACCAGGATCTGCCCTCCACCCTTAAACAAATACAAATTTAATGGGAACGATCTAAATTCTAGTTTTCTGGAAGATCCCATAATATACAACAAATCCTATAGCAGATTATCCAGTGGAACCAAGAGATTTATAGATGATACCTTACCAAGAGAGAGATCTTCTGTGAGAAAGACTTTTCTCCTACAATACCTTTCACTTGAGGATGAACACTGTTCTCTAATTTCTTTTGTTGTTGTTGTTTTTTGGGGTTTTTTGAGACAGAGTCTCACTCTGTTGCCCAGGCTACAGTGCCGTGACATCAGCCTAGCTCACAGCAACCTCAAACTCCTGGGCTCAAGCAATCCTTTTGCCTCAGCCACCTGAGTAGCTGGGACTACAGGCATGCGCCACCATGCCCGGCTAATTTTTTCTATATATTTTTACTTGTCCAGCTAATTTCTATTTTTACTAGAGACAGGGTCTTGCTCTTGCTCAGGCTGGTCTCGAACTCCTGACTTCAAGTGATCCTCCCACCTCAGCCTCCCAGAGTGCTAGGATTATAGGCGTGAGCCACCACACCCAGCCAGTTGGTTAGTTTTGTACTTTGGAAAAGGAAGACCCCTAAAGCAGAGAACTGAATAAGAAAACCAGACATCTAAAGGCTTGGTTGTCCTGCAGCAGAAGCAGGTTCACATGCACTTGTTCTAACGGCACTACACACACGGACTATGAAACATTAGGAGCCAAACAAGAAAGTCTAACCTCTAAGAGGGGAGAAAAGGTGTAGTGCATCTTAATAAAGAAGAGAAATGACAGCTAATAGTGAAACCACAAAATAGAAATGACTGTGCTTAAATGCCGATAATTTTTCTTTTAGGAAAGTAGGGAAATGACTGAAGCCTGCACAGTAGAATGGAAAGAGCACTTTGAAAACCTGAACACTAGTTCCTCCTCTGCCACTAACTAACTCTGTAATTCAGAGCAATCTTCTTTACTTTTGCCTGCCTCATTGTCCTCATTTGACAAAGATTGCAATAATACTGTCCTAATCTACAGCCAAGTGTTGCTTAACAATGGGGTTACATCCTGAGAAATGTGTCCTTAAGCAATTTCATTGTTCTGCATCATATAATGCACTTACGCAAACCTACATGGTACAGCCTAGGCTATATAGCATAGCCTATTGCTCCTAGGCTACAAACCTGTACAGTATGTTATTGCATGGAATACTGCAGGCAATTATAACACAATGGTAAGTATTTGTGTATCTAAACATATCTAAACATAGAAAAGGTACAGTAAAAATATGGTATTATAATCTTATGGGACCACCATTGTATATGTGGTCCATCAACTAAAATGATGTTATATAGCACATGACTGTATTTCATAGAGCTACTTCAAAAACTAAAATTCTATTTAAATATAAGGTATTTTTACTGTTATGAGTTGGGAAATAGCCAGGAATATAAAATTCTAACCAAAAAAATAAGAAGGAAAAATAAGTATGTTGTAGTGATAAATGAAAGGGAAACACAAACATAAATATATATCATGATGTCACTATATAACAATTTGCACAGGAAAAAGAATAAACACTCCAAAATGGTAATAATATATGTTTCTAGGTGTGGGATTGAAGGTAATACTTTTCTGTACTTTACAATTTTCTATTTGTATGTATAAAAGCAAAGATAAAACTATTTTTAAAAATTTAATTAAGAACAAACATAAAATACCATGGAATAGTGAGCTATTACCATCACTAACAGGTATGACTTAGCTCTGTAATATTTCTGCTTATCTCTATTTCCCCCACTTTTTGTAGAAAAGGAATTTGTGGTAAAATAGTTTCTCAGCATGGTTAGCCAGATTAATAGATATATAGATAGGAAAATAGAATCACAGTTAAAATGAATAAATGGCATAAAAACTTTAAATTTCAAATAGCATCAAACCATTAAGATTGCTGAGTAGTATATTATTTATACAAAGACAAAGCCAAGAGAAGTTTTTTCAATAAATTTCCTTCCAAAGATGAAATAACTGGTATTGTTATCTCTGTTAAGACTTTGATCCTTAGCTTTTTAAAGTTTGGTTTGTTTTTTAAGCTATTTAGTACAATTTTTGTCAA